GCACCAACACGAATGCCAGCAGATGTACGCAAAGAGATCCTCAAGGAAGAGGGACATGCAGAATCTTTGGAGTCTGGCCTGCCAAAGGCCTGAGTGGAGGCCTCAATGAACTGGCCAAAGCGAGCCTGTTCATCTTCATCTTCAACAAGTAAATGTTGAAAGGACCTGCCTTTCAGACTCACATCGGTGAGAATCAAATGCTTTAAGCATTCGCTCTCTTGTGCGACATTCATGTGGTTGTCCAAGAGCACTTCGCCATCACAAGCACCTCTCAAAACCCTCCGGAAGCCGGAAACCAAAGACTCCGCATCGGAGGAATCCAACTGCGCATAAATACGTCCGCGCAGTGCCATGTCGATGAACACAGAAGAGGCAGTGCTGATGCCGAAAACGACAAATTGTGTGAAACACAAGGGCTCCATTTCTTCTACACCTTGCTCTCCAAAGACCTTCAAGTGGATGACGACTTGAGTTGTGGTGTAAAGCACTTGAAAAGGGATTGAAACCCACGGGTCTAAGAACGTTAAGACCAGCAAAAAACGAGTCCCAGTCACAAAGCTCTGCTGGAGTGAAAACAGCGATCTGGTGGCTGAGCCAGCTGTTCCTAAAATAAATAGGAACACAACGACGTGCAGCATGTAGCTCAAGAACTTCAATCTGTAAGGCGTACAGTCCAGCAATTTGGTTCCAATCACTAAGTGCTGAACATAGGCCGCAGTGCCGCACATGACCCAAATGATGATACCTAGCCCTGGCCGTTTCAAGGCTTCTTGAAGAAAATAGAGGGAGAACATCAAAGTGATGTGCGACAAGCAGCGACTGAACAACTGGTAGTACCTCCCGCGAAGTTTCAGCATCCATTCTTCAACCCGGCTCTCTCTGAGGACATCGTGCGTAGCCGGAGCCTGCAGGTCTTTAGGGAAATCAAACAACACCTGGTGCAGCCAATGCGCTTCAAAACCCTCAGTGGCATTCCCCATATTGTTACTCACTGAACCCTGCGTTCGCAGGGTTCAGTCACCTCAGGGCACCCACCAGACCGTTCCAGAAGACCAGGAGACACACAAATCCGCCGTGTGTGCTCTAGTTGATGCGTTTTCGCAAGTCACCTGCATCATTGAGCTCAACCATCCTCGCAGCGCCACCCAATCCTTCTTGGTCAAGAAAAGGTGCACTGGGCACCAAAGTACCACCAGGATCACGGCACTAGAGGCATCCATGACTGCTAGGTGTGGGACCAAAGCGGCTTCAACAGGATCCAAACAATTGCGCACATGCGTTGAAGAGCTTCAAGTATAAGTAAAGTAGTGATGCTCAACGTAGATCCCCACCCTACATAATAATCTACCCTTGATGGAAAAAGCCGGTCACTTTCCGTCAGTTTGCTGCATTTGGA